GTGTTACAAGAGTGCCGTTGGAATGTTCCCTTCCACCGTCAAAACCTTAAATTTTTTTATTATTTTATCAAACAAAATATGCTTCAAGCACAGTCTAGCCCCAGAAGTGTAAAAACGTTAGTTTTATTCAACACCACCACTCGGACATCTTTATTTTTATGCTATGCGTAATTTCTTTCAGTCTTTTCCACGCAAGGGGATTCATTATGTCCGCCCCCTAAACGTAATTGCCATCTTGTCACAGTGTCTGGAAGTAAATCCTTATATTTCGCTTTTTACAAGTAGAGTAGAGTATTTTTAGTAAAATAGCAAATACTATTTTAGTTATAATGTGAAGTGTTTAGTTTTTTACAATCCGAATTTAAAAGTGAAAATGTGGGAAGCGGAAAAAATTTGGGAAGAAATACGGAGATTTCGTGGTAAATTAATCTTTTGAGTCTATGTGACTTTCCCTTTTATAAGAAGAAAAGCCTGACAGGTTGAAGCATTAATAAACAATTTATCAGTAGGGAATAAGGCTGGCGATGTCAGTACGACAATTTGAGAGATTGTGTTCAGACGGGAGAGTCGGATATCAGATCAGTTGGCTAGCTTTCTCTTCAACCTTTTAGATGATATAAAGTCGTACTCTGGGTCTGAATTACGCATTTAATTCCACAATTTCAAACTTTCTGACGTTCCGAGTCTTCAATGAGGTGACAAAAGGCCAAGATAGTATGAAAGAACATACATAAGCAACGTACAGAAGAGAAGGGAGATTACTCGCCCGACCTGTAGACCACATCTCGGAGCAGAAGCATAAATGCATAGTTAAACAAATTCCCCCGTCCACTTAGCTCACAGCCTTTTGTTTTTGAAATTTAGGCAACCTCGACGGAACCAAACGTGTTCGCACAGTTTTTTTACCAAAGAAAACAAATGACCATCAAAATTACGGTCTACGATTCCTTCAAAAGGTATAAAATCCAGCTAGATCTCCAAATTTTGCGGATGATAGTCGCTCCTTCTCTGGAAGCAGAAAAACTTATTCATGCTCGTTTTCGTTTCCATCCTACTTCTGTTTGCCTTCTGAGGCTTTAAGTTATTGTTTACGAATAGAGCTTTAAGGCCGAATGATTCACCAGTCCTGACTAATTTTTCAAGCAGAAGATTAGCTTGCACATTACCCAGATGTGCCGAGATGTATGGAGCTGCAATTGCCTGACCTTCATCGGGAGGAACAATTCCCAGTGGAAAAATTACATCTGCAGTCCATCACGCATGCACACACACACACAGTCAGAGGAAGCAAGCACAGTTGAAGCTGTAGGCACTTTAGAAGTATGAAAGAAGTGGAACAACAAACTAACACCCTTCTAAACCTATTATTCAATGTGAGTGGCGCTGCGACTTTCTTTTTCCATCTGATATAATCACGGAGGAGGTGCTTCCTCATCCACCTTATGCACTATTGAAGGTACTTGACATTTGTGTCTCTCATTAAGGCACCAGAGGCCACAAGTACAGGTACAGGGCGTCTTCTTAAAGATGATGAGTCAGTACTAAAGGCAAATTTTTTCCCACCTTTTTGAGTAATTGCTTCCGGGTGCTATGTACCACATTTGGCATCAAGCACCTGGAGGCAGGGATTTGAATTATGCTTTATTCTAATAGCAGATGAGCCTGAGTCGCATTAGAGAGTTACAAAGAGGTGAATGATGGAGACTACTACATACTTATGCCCTATAGTGTATGCGTTTGTGGTTCCTCCAGCTAAACCGCAAGGATGTATTTGTTATTCACACTACTGCCAGCGTCACATATGTGTGACAAATGTTCCTTATCAGCTTATGCCAACTGCTAGTTGAACTAAATCTGTATTAGGACGGATTGGTTAACTTTAAAATAATTATATAGATGTAGGGTGCTCTTGAACTTGAGAGGATGAGGAGAATAATTACACCTTGCCTAATTATTAGGTAGGAGCCCATATGATTGCTTCGGCAGTGCAGTTGGTGGTGGCATATTTCCCCAAAAGCAATTTGCCTTTGAAACGGGTTTCATTTGGGGACAAAATAGGGACAAATTGACTACAATATGCCACTTAAGCTATCAGAGTATTGTCCAGTGCTTATGATAAGAGACAATAGATAAGAAGTGACGGGATCCCAAAGTAATTGCAGTTTGAACCAGGGCAGTTGAGGAGATA